GTTTCGTGAACCTAGGAGAGGAGGTCATTCTGACTTTGCTATGACAATCTGGCGCTTCTGAATCAGCTACTGTAAGTATGTTTTGTTATTAGTTTAAGTATTTGCTATTGACTGTTCAAATACGGAGTTTTGCACATCACGTGTGTGTGTGTGTGTGTGTGTGTGTGAGAGAGAGAGAGAGAGAGAGAGAGACAGGGTCACATCACAGTGGAGTCAGCTGTCTTAACCGTGGCTTGTGTACTGCAAACACATACCAGCTTCATCACTGTGTCTGTCACGCGACTCTGTTCCCCTTTCAGGCTTGAACTGATGGTAAAACTAATGACATTATTTACTGTCTTTACATTTATTTTGAAAGATGAAGCTCGCGATTATGGTAAGGGACGTTACATTTCCGACGAGTGCTTGCGGTGTTCGGCCAATCACAATGCACTGGGTCAGCTGACCAATCAGAGCAGACTGCGCTTGTCGGAAGGAGGGACTTTGTAGAAAACTAAGCGTTTGAGAGAGGCGGGGCATAGAGGAGCTACAGTAATGTACAGTATTTGAAAAATAATGTGTTTTATTAACATTAAAGCATGTCAACATATTCTGTTACACCAAATACACAAAATAATGATTTTTAAAAAAAGCATCATATGACCCCTTTAAAGTAACACATTTTGAAATAATGAAATAGTATTTTCTTTTCTTGAATACTGTGATTAAACCTTATAATTTTTGTTTTTATTTACAACTGATTTATTTATTTATTTTACAGTGTATGGTATCATTGCGAAAACCCACTTTTGTTTAAATTCTGGTTAAGTTCTAGAAACGTGCAATTTTTTAAAATAAAACTTCGACAAGGGACTCAAAGTGAAAAATTATATCCCTTTGATAACAATCACTGTTACCCAATGCACTATTACGGAAAATGATTTCACCCTAAAATCTATGAATTGCATCTGACAAGCCCAAAGACACCAGCAGACACAAGGGGCATCTTTCTATCTTCTTATAACGATAATGAACAGTAAAAATCGGGGAGCCCAGGCCAACAAAATCCTGGCTGCGTTTCGGCTGGCTGTTTATTGGCGCTTAATGAAAAACAATTTATCTAAATCACCGCTCTGGAGGATTCGTAGTTAAAGCTTGTGGAGAGAGGGGTGGGATTTTTGTCAGTGACAAATGCACCACTGTTTTTCCAATTCAAATCCAGTTGAGGGAAGAAAACAGCCGTTTACATTTAGGGCGGATGGAGGCGAGGGAAAGAGCGAGATGATAGAATTGGGGAGGTCTCGAGCTTATGTTTCTCAGTTTGCTTGCTAAATATTATCACGTCTAGATGTCAGCCAAAAGTGTGCATGCTTAAATGAATGTGCTCCGAAATGCTTTAGAGCCTATTAAGTTTCATTTAAACATCCAAGGCATGTACATTGTATTTTTTCAAGCAGTAAGAAATCCATAATGAAAATGTCTGCAACTGTTTTTAGCACTGTAACAATCTTCGAATGACAGTGAGCACAATGCCTGGCATTCAGGTGCGAGCCCATTTAACGAGCAGGCAGACGTACTTACCCTTTAATTATCACTGAGATCAGACGCAACCGCCCAGTCAAACACGAGCATAAAAAGAAACGCTTTCCATAATGCAATGTGTTCACTACCAGAAGAGTTTTGCATCTGTTTTAATTAAGCACTATATGCCCATCCACAGATTTTCCTCTGTGCATACATATAACCAGAATCAATTTAAGAGGAGCTTGGAAACTAAGCCAAGGTCAGTGCTAAAGTAGAACTACAGTAGCTTTAGCTCACTCTCATTATTATTCCATTTAGAATGGAAGCAATGGTCAACCTTGACCTAGAATGAGCTTTAGTTGGTGGTCCAAAGCTAGGAATAGTTCACCTAAAAATTAAAATTACATGGAAGAAGTCATGCAGAGGGATTTCTATTGTTTGTGTGAAATGTTCCTTTAAATGGAGTTGATTAAGCAAAGGTGCAGGGGGCCAGATAGCAGCAAGTTCACTATGAATAAAAAAAAAAATAGCCTACTATATCATATTTGATATACAAATTTCTAAAGCCTCTGAATGATTAGCATGATCCAAACTGCTGAAAAACCTGTTGCACACATTCTACTGTTGTACATCCCTTCTGTTGTGGGATCGATAGTTTATACATTTTAAGAAAAATTTATTTTTGTATAATTAAAAAAATATCCACCTTCAGGTCATAGTACATAATACATAGTGTCTTTTTTTGCTGTGAATAACTTGTTGGTAATATTTCAAGATGAACACTTACTGGAATGATTTTTAGAAAAATCATGTTAAAATGTGAGCGTCAAATATGATCCATCAGGCTTTTGTGGAATGTTTATTTGCTCATCTCTTAATCACCATTGCATTGCACTGCACTTAAGGTTTGCCTCCAACAATAAAAACTACAGAGCTTTGATCATAAAACTAAACATTTAAATATAATCTTTCTAATATATAATTTTGGGAGATATAGTGTCAACTGATATTTATATGCATTTTCTGTGAATGGGCTGCTATACTGTTATAAAGATCTCATTGATTTACATTACATGTCACTGTTTTGTCGTATCAATATGAGCAACTGCACCACATTTCATTTTGTTGTAAGTTTGGGCCTCTTTTGGAGTTTGGAGTAACTCCAATCCATATTCTTCTGTTTACTCATATGTCAGACTTTACAGGGTTAACCGTTGTGCCTGTCTCTTTTTTTTCTTTTTTTTCCTCAGATAATGGTGTTGACTGACCCAGAGTTTGAAAGCAGTATTCTCATCAGCTCGGATGAAGGTGCCAGTTATCAGAAGTACCGCTTAAACTTCTTTGTCTTAAGTCTTCTTTTCCATCACACTCAAGAGGACTGGGCATTAGCCTACAGCCACGATCAGAAGGTAAGCTTTGCTTCATCTAAACCAAAAAAAAAAAAAAAAAAAAAAGGAGCCCGCAGTGGTAAATAATAAAACATTACCATATTCATTTAATAAACTGGTCTTATTGATGGTGATTCATCAGTTCAAAAACAAACGTTCCAAAACGGGGTTTCACAACAATGCAGTAGGATAAATATTTTCTAAACTTTTTTATTAACATTTTTTATAAATGTTAACCATTAGTGAAATGGCCATTTAGACACTGTTTTATAAAACTCACATTCAGAATGGCTTTATTTAGGTATATAATAAATTTTTCCAATTTGTCTGGCCTTACCATTCAACTCACTGAATAGCAATTGTAGAGTGAACAATAAGAAACTGAACAGTGATTGGTGTTTTGTGCTTGTTTAGGCTGGTTCACATTAGCCTGAATATTTTTAGGTATGATATTTAGTTTGCAAGTGTGACTGAGTAATACCGTTTCTGCATTTCGTTTTGGGTACTTTTTTTCATTCTGGAATGCTTCTCAAATAAAATTAGTAAATTATGTTGAGTGCTGAAAATGTAATAATCATTTACCAAGGACAAACCCTCCCAAGCGAGGGACAGTGAGAAAGAAAGATAAAGAGAGCAAAAAAGACTTTTGACTTTTAAAGGTCTCCTTTTATTTGGCAGTGATTCATATTCGTAGTCAGCCCATAAAGAAAACCCAATAAAACGTGTGTGAACAGAATGGACATCCAGCAAAATGAGCTGAAGCTTATGAATATATCAAATGAATATATCGTTGTCCATACTTTGAATCCTTTGAGTCCTGTATAGTATGTATGGATTTATGTTGTTTTATCGTGTATTAAATTGAATTGTGTATTAAGTTACAATAAAGACAATAATGTTACAGCAACTTATAGATTAGTGGCTAAAAATATTTATATAAAAAAAAAAATGCTATTAATTTGAATATTGTATATGTACATTAAAGTATCCTGAAAAAGAAAAGTTTTCACAAAATATTAAGCAGCATTGATAATAAAAAGAAATGCTTATTAAGCAAATCCACATATTAGAATGATTTCTGAAGGATCATGTGACACTGAAGACTGGAGTGATGATGCTGAAAATTCACAGGAATAAATACAATTTTAAAATATATTCACATAGAAAACAGTTGTTTTAAATTATAATAATATTTCACAATGTTACCATATTTATGATCGATGGTGAGCATAAGAGGCTTCTTTCAAAAAACATTAAAACAATCTTACCAACCTCAAACTTTTAAACGGTAGGTTAACCGGTTGTACTTTAAACACACACACAAAAATAAGTATTTCTATGCATGGATGCGAAAAGACGGATTATGTTGTTCTTGTAGAATCAGCCACTGTTCCTTTGCACTTCTGTCTCTAAACTTTTAGTGGTAAAACATCGAGCATCTCAGTCACTGGTCTGTCCACTTCCCATAATGATGTTATCCTGAGCCATACTGCAATGTGCTTGGAGACAGTCATGCTTACTCGCTCAAAAAATGACACACATTAATGCTGTGGCGACATGGCACCAAAGTGTCTCATTTTCTGAATCGACAAGGGTGGCTGACACTGTGTCCAGACTCATCACGGCCAGAGCAGAGCTGTGGATCAGGTCAACACCTGAAGCATTGTCTTATAGAGAGGTGTCAGGCTGGTCAGGTCCACTCGTTGACGATTCATTAAAAGCAGATGGTAGTTTAGGCTCAGCTTTCTCACTTTCCTCAGGAGAACACCGGCTCAGGCCTCTTACGTAAAGAAGCCTCTAGGAATCTGACAAAAGAAATAGCAATTGATCCCTGCCCACCCTTTCAGTCTGGTTAACGGAGGTTTCATTGACCAGCAAACGTCCACAAAAGCCATTCAGTGTCTTTAATGATGCTAACAGCTGGCTCTAAATGGTCGTTTTATGCAACATTGAGGAAGCAATAAGATCTTTTTCTAATAAGATAGCATGGCCTTTGAGACGACCTTGAATTATACCAAACAAGCCTCACTACATTTGATGCAATTGGTCTGCTCTTTTGGGAATATTTTGGGTTCAATATAAATTAAGTGCAATCGACAGTATTTGTAGCATAATGTTGATTACATCCAAAAATATTATATATACTGTATATAGTTATATGTTCAAGGTTACAGTGAGGCATTTACAATGGAGCCAATGTGGCCAATTTTTTGAGGATTTAAAGCAGAAATTTGAAGTTAATAATTTTAATAGACATTATAACATTGATTGTTCTGTGAAAACCACAATTGTATCTGTTCAAATAATTGTTACAGTTGTTTTAGGGTTTATAGACTTTTATAGTCATGGTAATTAAGTTTTAAAATGTAATATAACCACACAAAAAAGTTTGTAAATGATTTTGTCTCATTAAAGGGATAGTTCATCCAAAACTCCGACAACTTATGTTCCTTTCCACACAAAGTATGATTTACACGGCCAGAGTTTTGATTAAGAAAGCCTAATTGTGCACAATTCATTGCATAATATTGTGTTGGGACTTCAAAACAACTTTAACATGCGGCAGGATTTGAAAACGGATACTTTTGAACGTTAACGTCACACATGTATGGGTTTCCTAATATTAAAATTTCAGGTTGAATTATGCATTTAAAGTCATGATAAAAATGCATATTGTTTACATCTCGTTGGCTGCATTATTGAAACGGTGAGTTTTTAACATTGATAGGCCCCATTCATCTTCACATTTTTTTTTTTTTTACAGTAATCAACATTATTCTGCAAGTGCTGTCAACTATTTCTTAATTCTATTTCTCTGATCTCTAGTGTTTCAGCTCTCTTCAGATCATTTTTGTTAAGAAATTAAAGCTCTTAAAAAGCTTTCCAAGAGGTTTCTGACCTTGATTGCTTTTAAACTTGTCCAAGTAAATTGCAGGTTCACAAATTTCATGAAGAAATCTATAGGACTGTGGTCTGAACCAAGAATCTTTTGTCCACAGTCGTTGTCTGAAACCATGGAGTCAAGGTTTTACTGGTTAGCAAGCATTTCCCCCTCTGTTTGTCATTTAAAACTATCTGTGTACTCTAACAAACTGACATTTTTTGCTAGAAATATTTAAATAACAAATATTTGAGTGTTACAGTAGATATTTTACCAATGACTAATTCTGGAGGGCCCTTAAAAGTATGACTTTTTCTGCTGCCTTTGATGTCACAACTCAAGATAATCACCAGTATAGAGCCTTGAGGACTGTGTATGTTCTTGTGGTGCCATGAGCCAATCAGAGCTTTCTCCAGGTATTACAGACCCTCTCCTGGAACATTTGTTTGGTGTGCAAATCTTCCAGCTTTGGGTGTTTTTGGAAGAGCCCAGCACTGATTCATCAGCAACGTAGAGTTGAGAGTAAAATTCAGCGGCTAAATTATGCATGGCAGATGGTTGGGAGATGACAAAACTTTCATTATCCTTCAGGCACAGCACTGGCTTCTCCTGTCTAATCTTCCATTTTAAATTGAAGAAAAATGTAGCATCAGTGTCTCTACTAAGAAATTCAGCTGTTGTTTCTTCTTGTTGCAGGAGTTGTCTAAATAAAGGACAAATAAATTATACCCACATTCTATCATGCCAGCATTTTACTCTGGATAACAGACATGCCATTCTCAAAGTTCGATGTAGCGTCAGCTTTATCATTCCTGTTGAAATCATTGCACCTTCGGTGACTTTGGATCATTGCAGTATTCATATAATTGTTTATTTTGTCATGCTATTTAAATCACATTATTTTATGCTGTGGTAATATGCTGTTTTATGCACCCACACTACCAAAGGAATAAGAAATTATTATGTGCAATTACCACTTTTCTCTGAGCCTCAACAATTTCCAGATATTTTTACAGGTTTGAATTGCTCCAAATGTGCCATAACATGTTCTATTAGATTTATATGATAAAGATACCATAATAGTATACAGTATATATATCATTAATACTATATATAATTCATTATAAATATTTATATATACACTACCTTTGCTTTTATTCATAAAGTATACATTCAGTTGATCAAAAGTGACTGTAAAGACATCAAAGAATCCTGAAACAGATCTATCACTGTTTTCACAAAAATATTAAGCATCACAACTGTTTTCAACTTTGATAATAATAAATGTTTCTTGAACAGTAAATCAGCAAATCAGAATGATTTCTGAAGGATGGTGTGACACTGAAGACTGGAGCAATGATGCTGACAATTCAGCTTTGACATCACAAGAATAAGTTACATTTGAAAATATATTCAAATAGAAAACGATAGAAAATTGGGTAACACTTTATTTCGATAGTCCACTTTAGACATCTATTAACAGTAAGTAACTTTGCAACTACATGTCAACTAGCAGCTAGTAGAGTATTAGTAGACTGTCTGCTTAATATCTTCTAACACTTTCTTTGTCAACTTATTCTACTAACCCTAAACCTACCCTAACAGTCTACTTTGAGAGTTAGTAGACATGTAGTTGCAAATTAATGAGAATTAGTTGACATGTAGTTGACATGTAGTTACAAAGTTACTTATAGTTAATAGAATGTCTAAAGTGGACTATTGAAATAAAGTGTAACCGAAAATTGAAAATAATATAATGTTGTCATGCATAGTAGAGCAAGTATCACAATAACTGAATTCAAGGATGACACAAAAAAGGACAATTAAGTGTATTAGTCCTCATTCATCAGAATGAAATTTGCTGGTAGACTTTCTCTCCACCAGTGATCACTTTTACCATACTTGATGATAACATTCTGTATCTGCTTTCAGAGTATATGTGTGGGGAAAGCAGTAAGAACAGGTATAAACAATTTTAATCCTAAAAGATTATCTTGGATTGGATCCACTCCTCCAAAATGAGCTGAATACAGCAACAGAGTGATGTTGTGATGTTCCAGGATAAAAACGGCTAGAGTGACGTTTGTTGCATTGTTTCATCAAGAAAAGCATTAATCTGTTCAGCTGAGTGCATGTCATT